TTGGCCTGCTGTGTTCATCCAGCCCTGCACCTTGTTGTCTCGGATTCTCCAGCATCTGCAGTTCCTACTATCTCTGATTCAATATTATATTTAATATTCTGCATTCATAATTTTTGAGTGCATAGACTAAGAATCATACCTTGGTATCAATATTTGTGAATGAATATATTTGGATTAAGGTTGTTCCACTCACAAGTCAGGTATTGAACGTATATTTATAACCACAACCACAACATTTTGCTAAAAGTAAAGCACCCTCCTTCCTTCAACAATTTCTACAGTATTGTCAAATATCCCAATAGTAATGCTGAAAGCAAAATGTTGTTGAAGCATTTGTCTTGGTCTCATCAGGGTCATCAATTTGCCAGCTTTATAATGTAAAGGGAAAATAACATGTATCCTGGATGACAGGACAATGCTGATTTGTTAACAGGTAAACTGTAAATGGTAGATACAGAGGTGAGTGCAAAATGTGTTTTTTTTAAATGTCATTCAGTCTCTCGAAAGTTGAGGGCTTTACAGTGGAGGTTACTGATGCTACTCACATTGGTAGTTGGTCAATCAATTCCATAATCATTAGTTTTGCAATTGGCTGAAATTCTGTTGATCAAATTCCTTTTGGCTGTAATGAATTTACAGCATTTAGGGTGAGAAAGCGTTCTTTTGTTGTCCTGTTTCCTTTTGTCTGGTCACTTTCTCGTACTCAGAGTGAGAGGAGTGATTACTGGGTAGTTCTTTGACTCTGGCCTTCACACTATCCTAACACTTGAACTCAGGCTGGTGCACACAAAAACATTCAGTTCCACGAGAGTGCTCCAGTAGAGTTGGAACTGGCTTTTTAACAGTTGTCTCTGTGTATTTCTTAAAGGGAAAAATACAAAATGTGTTTACAGTTTGGGACACTATCTGCAGGGGAACACTATTGAGAAGGCACTTATCAACCCCTAGTTATCTTTGTAGTCACAAGAGATCATTTTCCAGTCTGATTTAACTTGCCTTTTCTTCCCTCTGAAAGGCTGTTGTTTGAATTTCCCTTGAAGCTGTAGGTCTGATTTTCCATGTACTTCCTCAAACTGCCACTTAACATATCCACAGCCATTTTTGGCTGTATCACCCCTCTTAAAACATATATTGTTGGGTTTACGAGTTAAAAATATCCACAGTATTTTGGGGTTCTGACAATTTAAGGAGGAAAACATGGAATGAAGCCTATTCTTTGGCAGTGAATGAGGATGAAAAGTATCATAGAGTAAGAATTTATTCTCATACTAATTCCTTGATTAAAACCTGTTTTGATTGTTAGCTGACCTAGGGAAAGCTCTGGCAATATCTGCAGACAGAAAAACAGAAATAGCATCAAGTCCAGTACAACACTTCTTCAGAAGGACTCAAAATGTTTACGGTTTCTCTTTCAATAGATGCTGCCAGACCTGCTGAGTTTTTCCGGTATTCTTTATGTTGGTTTCAGAATTCCAACATCCACAGCATTTGCTTTTATTTTTGCAGATGGGACAAGCTGTTCAACACAACAGCCCCAAAGGTGTTCTGACCTATAAAACACCAACAATGCTCTCAGTTAAGTGGCAAAATCGGAGATTTTCTGGTGAACAAAGAATTAAACTATAGTACCTGAACCATGGTTGAAAACAGGATTCAGAGTTGACCATGTCTAAAAATTTCATCAAATAAATTACATAAGTTTTCATAAACATGGCCTTCCAAGCCAGGTTTATGTTGAAATTTTTAAATCATGAACTCCTATTAAAGTGTAGGCATTTAATTTGGAACTGGTGGACACTTTTAACTGGCTCATACAAATTCTAATAGGGAAACCAGAAAAAGAATTCTTAGCGTAGTTAAAATATCCACTCTGTTACCACAGAAAGGGTCATGGTAAATAGCTTAGACACATTCTAAAAGAAACTGGATGAACATGAGAGGAAGGGGAAGTTTAAAGATATGCTGCAATAAGGCAGATAGAATGGGAGGAGACTTGAGTGCAGCATAAACAATTCCATAGACTAGCCGAGCTGAATGACCTCCTTTATCTGTGGCACATTCTGAATAACTGTAAAAAAATAAAGAATGTTGAAAAGACAGGAACACATGCAAATTCCTCATATCCTCCTGGAAGTGTAAGATAAAAATGATCAATGCAATCACTGGAAGGAATACTTTGAATCAAAATCATCCCAATGAGTCACTTTTATATTCTTTTCCAACCCAACGACATTATCACTCTCTCCAATTTTAGAAAGCTCAAGCCCCATGATGGCTCATCTGGCAAAGAATAAGGAATTGAATATCTCACCAAAACACACTAAATACAAATCTCATAACTTCAACTACTGGCGCCAGCAGATGAACATAATCATATTAAAAATGATGCCTTTATCATCACTGCGAAGTGCTGTCATTTCCCTTGGTCAGGAACAAACTCCAAGGCAGCAAGCTAGATCAGCCTTAACTGCAGGCATACAATCCATATTGCAGGCTGATGTAATGTTGGATGTTACTGGCACAGATGCAGAATACATATACCTCCAAGTGACAATTCTTAACCCTTCCCAATTTATAAAGACTGAGGTGTTGTCAATTACATTAAATTGAATTGTCCTTAATTGAATTGTCATTGAATTGTACTTAATCGATTGATATAAGTGCCCCAGGAATCTTCACTCTTTTGTTGCAAAAGATCATGCTTGTTACACTAAAATGCTGAAATGGTAAAATGCCAAATATGAAATATTTAATTGCATAGTTTAATGAATGAAAAATAACGTCTATTTGTAATGACTTTGATATTTTGCAGAATTAAATTATCAGCGATTCAACATGCAGTGAAACCTCCAAAGCAAGTTTAGTAGGTGGTACTATTATGTCAATAATAATATGTACTCAGCACTATCTCTCTTCAATTGCATTACAAATGGCAGCTTTTTCTCTCTGTCAGCTATTTCTTCTTTCTCTATGCTGTGCTGCTGTTTTGGGGGTCAGTTAGCTCAGTTGGCTGGATGGCCACGTTGTAATGCAGAGTGATGCCAACAGGGCAGGATCAATTCCTATGGTCTGATAGGTCTACAGTGATTTTGCTTTGCCTTTCATGCTGCAGCACCTAAATTGTTCAAACAAGCATTTGATTATTGGACACATATAATTTGTTGAGGTGATAAATGGCAGCCCCTGGAGAACTGAATATTTTTGCTACTTTATATCATATACTATCAAATTACATTAAATGCAAATCTGAGCTCCCCTTTGTGTCCCTTCCCTTCCCTTCCCTTCCCACCTCACCTCACTCCAAACAGCCAGTTTTATAAGAGTACCTTACTGCCCTAATGTTTCCCTTTCAGGTTATGTGTTGCAGCAAGAAATTAAATCTCACAGGAAGCAAGCAACTAATTTAGAAGCAGAAAGATACACACGTTAGCTTGCCCCTTCTCCTCGAGTGCATACAAGTAGCACATCTCCACAGTCTCAGAATTTGTGCCCTCATTTTACACTTGGAGCAACTGCAGAAACTATTAGAGAAAAGGGAACTATTACAATTTAAATGTATAAAAGAAAAAGGTGCATCATTATAATTTTACAGACCTAATACCATGATTTTAAGAGCAATGACCATTTGGCAGTTTATTAATGTAATGCGTTGCTTTCGTAGTCATTCACAATCAATAAACCCAAAGATATTTATCCAGAATCATAGGTTGTAGCATTCTTATTTATTGTAAAATGTTTTTCAAAGATTTGAACTAAATTAACCAAATGACCTACAGACACAAACTACAGCACAGATTGCATTGAAACAGAGAAAAATACATGACCTATATTTT